ACTTGAGTTTCTTCCCTATAAACTAACTAGTGCTTCAGTCCCTTCTGCCAACTTGGTAGATACCAGCCTGGTACACGGGATGAGCCGCAAGCAGGCCACCTGGCCAAAAGGCTTTGTGAAGCCCCTGTCCGGGAAGAAAAGGAGCTCAGGATGCAGATCTGTTCGCGGCCGGCGAGCGCAGCCGTGAATGAACGTGCGGTTCATCTTCTGAACCGGCTAGACTCGGTGGTGCAAACACTGTCAGACTTGTTATCTAAAGTGCCTGTCATCCATGTTGGTCAGAACTTCGTTCGAGTCATCCGGGGTCACCAATTTGGAGTGAAAGGGTCCCCTGAATACTTCACAAATAGATAGAAACTTGTGGATGGAACACAGGGACAGTGTGTGCCAAGCAGGGATCAGCTTGGCGAAGTTCTACTGGATCTCCACCTTGTCGACATCACCAATGGAAGGACACCACACAATTTTGTTTCACTCAACCATCTGCCCATGGGCGACGCTACTTTTGGATCTGCCATTAGAACACAAGGCTCTGCCATTCTGCCATCAACATCGGAGTGCACCTCAATACAGCAATGCCCTTGTTTGGACATGATCAACTTGCTTTTGCAAGGGATGCTGAAAATTGAAACAACATTAGCCATTGCTTTAAATCGTGACATCACTGGTAACATGATATTCATTCCGTCTCTTTCAAGCGGTGGCCCAGCTGCACTGGCACCACTACTTTGGGAGGCTGAGCAATGGCTGCAGCCATCCCAGGCGACAATCCCGGCGGAGGAGGCAGGGGCGCTGTAAGTGCTAAGCCTTCTGAGGGGTTGGCAACGACGTGAGACACCAAGGCTGGTGGTGGAGGCAGCTGTGCACGCTCTGCGGAAGGTGTTGGGGGTTCTGAGTCGGCCAACTCCTCTGCTTCATCAAACACTTCCTCCATGCCGAGATGAATATTATCATACACTGCCTTTGAGATAGCATAAAGGCTCATCATGATTGAGAAGCAAAGTGTGAAGAAGGCAGTGACATCTTCCGAGCCAGATGTGAAAAAGGCGCTGTAGTACTGCAGCAAGAAGGACAGCGGTGCTTCTAGGGTTTGTTCTGCGTGAAGGATGGACAAATACTTGTCGGAGGGAACACCAGTCTTGCGAAAATCCCTGAAGGCATGTAGTAGGTCTGTAGGTCCCCCCTTTCCACAGCTCAGAAGCTGCTGCGAACAGCATAATGATTCCCTGGGCAGCTGCAAATCCAAATTGCTGAGTCATGATAAATTGACCGAAGCACACGGCATCTGAGGCAAGATCAAAGCAAAACATCAAAAGGGCAAAATATGATTTTGCTCTCTCCTTGAAGGTTGCTTCTTGCTGCATCATCTCCTGTTGCAACTGCTTGGCCTTCCGGCGAACCGCTTTCCGCAACTCTCTGTCTTCATGAATCTCCGTAAGGAGACATTCTCGGAACCACACTGTGCTCAACGTGCACAGAAGCAGCCAGCCAGAGAGCATGAAGGCTGGAAGTGTGATGTATAAACATGTCACAAAATCCAAGAAGCCTCGACCAATTTGTGGCATTTGACAAGCAATCGCATCAGCATTGCATAAGTTGGCAAGCCATCCTTGAACTTCCATGCACTCATGAAACATGAATGCATCAAAATCTCCATGCACACACGATCTTTGAAGCATCTGAGGCAGCTGGGCAAAAGTCTCTAGAGTAGCTTCGCGGTACGGTACTTCGCCCAGTGAAGGGTTGTCTTCAGGTCTCCGGAATGCATCCGAACTCAGTTGGTAGTGGTAGTTGGAACCTAGATTTGCCACAACAAAAAAACATTTGGCACGTGCCACCCGTTCTGAAAATGGTAACAACAACATCCGGCCTGGGAGGGCCTGTGAGGAATCGGACGTGGTACAACAAGGAGCTTGAAACAATCATAAACAATCTATAGTACAACATTCTATTTCAAAATTCACAATCTATAGACAATTTATATACAATTGATAAGACTCTATTGTATTTTTGTCTTGTCAATTTTGAAAGAAGAGTTCTGTGGTCTGTGTACAACATAATAAACAAAGTCGAAAGACTGCCAGGAACAATGAGGCCGCAAAACACAGACCGGTCGCTGCCAACTTCAAGAGCTTCACGAGAATAGTTCGACATTGTTCTCCCTATGATTTCCATTTCTGTTTCCTTCGAACCCGTCCACTGCCACTCCGTAGTGTAAAGAAGGCCAGTCGGAGTCAGGCACAAGGCGTTGGCGGAAAAGGATAGAAGAATTGGAACCCAGCAAACAATTCTTAATAGGATGGTAGCAATGTAGAATCGCCGAGCGTGCTTCTGCGCCCTGACCAGGCCAAAGGCGGAGTATCCTTGACAAAACAAGGCAAAGTAGACGACTTTCCGCGAATCTCCCAGAACCATTCTTCCTGTCATCCCAGCGCGATCAGCACTCAGAAGAGCCTGCAGGGTAATCCTGTTCCTCTTCCGAAACTCAAAAACAGCATGTTCCTTGTATGATCTTGTATGTACACTCCCTGAAACAATCATGGAAGTGGATGGCACCCCTTGTTTGTAGATTTTGTAGAGGAAAACCGTAGGGCCATTCTCCACTACCATGTTGGTTTGAGGGAGGGCAGTGCTCACTTCCGAAGGTTCTTTCTGTTCGACATGTCAGCAACATGAATGCAAACATGCTCGAGTGAATATCAACTCCTGCCTGTAAGAAGAAAGGGACAAAAAGCATTGCAGGGTGGCTGAAATATCCGAGCCTTACTGGTCCGAAATCTTGAAACTCAATTGTTTGCGGTTGCTGTGACAAAGTTTGATTCACAGCCACTCTGATAATGATTCTAGACCAATTCCCATGTCAATGCAAAAAAAAAACCGAACCAACAAATCGATTCCCCCAACCACAAGGGATCCCTACACGTCATGGGTATCTCGGAAACGCTCGGTGGGTCATACGCTCTCGGGATCGTTGCTTTTGATGCGTCAAGTGCGCAAAAGGTTTCATTGGCATTGCAGCTCTACGGAGAAGTGGAACTGCAAAGAGCGAGATCCTTTGGAGTGCCGAACTCCAATGGATCTATGGTTCAATATGCCGCTTCATTTCGGATTGTCTGGGCTGCGGAGACCGTGTACGTTCCGGCATCGCAGTGCCGTGGGAGATTGGAATTGTTGGTGACAAACGCACTGGGTGAAGTGGTGTGAAGTATCCAGTGAGTGGTGTTGCAACCTCAGTTCTATGAGGGAGCGAAATGGGAGGCTTCACCATTGAGCGCCAGCTAGCATGGGAGTCGCAACTGGCGTCACAGTGATATGGGTAAGTGGAACCGCACATAGCCAGGGCTCCGTCAAGTGCTCGGCAGGTTGTCTTAGGATGCAAGTTTCTCTGCAAAATTGTTACTGCAATGGCAGGGCTGGGCCAGGTGGATATTTCTGGAGGACATAGTCTAGAACAATCTTCACTACTGTACATTGTACTTCACCTAATCAAACACCACCACTGCACTCACTATATTGCGCATGACCATGACCACATTACACTTCATCGCATCGCAGAGCAAAACATTGCAAATCACCACATGACTCATGGCAACACGCGACATCACAAAACCCCCAAAAGCATATCACCGCATTCAGATCATTCTACAGCAAACCAAAAAAGCCTTCTGGGTAAATCATTGCAGCAAACTTGCCCTGCCTGAGATTGCCTATCAAAAAGGCGCAATCCCGGATACTTCTGGGATTCGAAGGGGTCTAAGTCAAGCCAATTGGTTCTCTGTTTATCTTGTCCTAGGTTATTCCTAGCCCCACTGCCGCGATCCGGGAACCCTGGCTCTTTGGTCCAGCCACTGAATCATGGTCGTCAGGCTCCCAACTTCCTAGGCTGAGGCCCCTCACGCCAACACATGAAGTATGGACAAACGCAACTGACCGAATGAGAACCACAGCATTACCTTTGAAAGAAGATTCACAGTCAGTGCTTTGATGGAACCACAAAGTACTGAACAGCAACGATGTTTATGGTTGAACACTTCTTTGACATGCTTCAAATAGAATGTAGCCACTACAAACACAAAGTAATTGGCAATGAACAAACACACTACAGAATACCAATAGAATACCAACATATGTGATCAGCATTGATCAGCAATGGGTCTGACCGAAAGCCTTTGGAAGCCTTTCGCCTTTTACAAACAAATCAAAGAATATTTTCGACAATCCTGGCATCCATTAGGATGCATAGCCATACCACCCAGGACTTGAGAGGCATGCGCAAAGCCACGACTTCCTTTGCGGCCGCCAAGCGCGCCGCAACTTTGAAGGACATCGCGGCGCAAAATGCTTCAGCTCTGATATAAGAGCTTAAAGGTGCCGAGCACTATCTCAAGGATTCATTCAGAGAGGCTCTGATGGTTTTGCTTCTGAGAACTAAACTTCTGGTTCCACATGTGCTGTCATGGCCAGGGCCTTCCGAAACAAGTCGCGACAGCAATGAAAGTCGTCTCCGGGCCTTGCTGCTTGAGCTGCGAGGCTCCAAAGTGTGAAAACAAACTCTGATGAACTCATCCTTCGTTTTTTCACAGCGAACATGTGGAGAGTCTTGACTTCTCAGAAATGGCAGACCCCCGCCACACTCCTGAACATCCCCAAGAAGTCTACCAACAGTCCAGACTGCCGCCCACGCGCACCAGCATCTGGGCACCTCACTCAGCACGTGAACGACGTGGAACTGTGTCTTGCGCCTGGTCTTCAGCTCTGTCTTCCGCAAGAAGAAACATTTGCAACACCCACTTAATAGCGATGGCCTCCAACCTAAGGCAAGAATTGAACCAATTGAGGCTCTAGATTTCCCAATCAGAATTCACGCCTGTCAACGTTACACAGATCGATTTACTGCCAACATTCCACGAAAAATAGCTGCTCAAATGGTCCTGAAAGGTTTGAAGGTTAGATGACATGCTTTTCTGCTAAATCCAGCTAGCTCGTGGTAACACCTATGCATACCATGCATACTGCAAATCAAACATGCCAATAGTTTGGGTCTATCCTACTAGCAGTAACAGTGGATGATGATGGTTAATTACAAAAGGCCTTGTTCAGAACTAGTGATAATTGTGTATTGACTGTTACAGGTAATAGGACAGACCCAACCAATAGTAGTGGTAGTGGAATGTACATTAAGTGACAGTTCGTTGTACGCTTCTTGTGTCTTCCGTGGATCTGACTTGCGTTAGTCTATAACAACAAATCAATCAGCTGTGAACAAATTTGCAAGCATGGAGAGAATGGTCCATGGTTTCAGCCTCCACATCTGAGGTTGGCAACAGAAATCAACAGAATCTATCTATACAGTTGATGGAATCGGTTGGTATTGGTCAAACAACTAAACAAAAGAACATGCTGGGCAAGCCAAAGCACACCTGACCCACAAAGGTCGGGTTCACCAAAACACCCGAGGTGCTGGTTGGGCACGAAATCCCGAGGTGTATGTACCACCAACGGTCTGGTGTATGTACCAACCAGCCAGGGCCGACCTGTCGACGAGCGTTTGGCCGACCTGTCAAGAAATCCGATGGAAACAAAGCAACCGCTCCGGACAGATGGACAAACTGAACCACTCAGCGGTCGAGTTGCTTTCGTATCACCGCGGGCCGCGAGAAGTGGGCTTAGCGCAGCTTAGCGCATGGCAAGAGTCCTGACCGCGATGAAGGTGGATTCAGTCCCCCAAAGAGCGCAGAGGCTCTAAAGCAACGAAGCAAACCATCTTTTTGATTCGAGCTGTAGATCTAGATGATTCCAGAGCTCGTGCATGTCAACTCATTTTACGGATTGAGGATTTGTAGAGAGCAGAACCGCACATGTGGTTCCATCGTTCTTTCCACACATGTCATATCGTACTCCAAGATCGACCATGTCGTACATTGGGGGCATCTGAAATGAAGTCTGGCAGGCAATCAAAACACCAAGCAAGCTTGGCTGCTTTTACCAGGCAATTTCTTAACAAGTTCATTGATGTATAGGTGCAGCAACAACATGATCGGTTTGGAAGTCTACAGCTCTTGGCAAAGAGAGGTAGAAGTAAGTAGGTCTTTGGCTGACTTCCTAAACCCGTAGCTGGAGTCAAACTTTGATGCCATGTGCTTCAGTTGCCCTCTCCAAGCAAAGAGGCCTGGCCATTCAAGGAGGGAAAACAAATCCCCTGTGATCTCGGCCACACACACACACACACTTGTATTCATCTGACTCATGTTTTCGGCAAGATACCCCCAGGCTACACCGTGCACCTGCCTCCCGTGAGTTCTATGGGTGCTTTTGTTAAGCTCCCCACTCCCCGCTCCCCCTCCAGCCGCCCAGTCGCCTTGGCCATGCACTTGCGGCTGTGGCCGCCAGTCTGTTGGCGAAGTTTCCCTGTTTCGAGGTCTGAGTCATGAGGTATTTACTTGTGTTTGTCAAAAAATGGTTGGCCCAAGAGGTATTTTGTCCAGGTTCTTTCTTACACATTAATTATGATGCTTGTTGCCAACCCACTAACAAGTAGGTGAGATGGAAAGTATTGCACTGGACAGCAAAAGAATGTCTTTTCAGGCCTCCTCACCAGGTTTTGAACCCTTCGGCTGCTAAAGGCAGGGCCCATGGTCAAGAAAACGGTCACTGTGCATCAATTGGACACCCAGCATACCGTATCTTATTTTGATTCCTGCTTCCACCACCAACAGGGTTGCTCAGGCACCCACTGCTTCGTGAAGATGCTTCGATGTATGTGGAGTTTTCTCTAGTCCAAACTGCTGTGTCTGTGCACGAGCAGGTTGAGCTGAGCACTGCCAAGTATTTTCATGTATGTTGAAGAATGAATGTCATGGCTAGCTGACCAGTGGCTTATCTAAATCACCTTCGAAGCATGAAACACCGCAACGGACACATCGCGCCCCCCTTTTTGCACCGAAGTGGTCAATTCCTCGCCGGTGCAGTCTTCGAGGGGACGGGACGTGGAGCGGCGAAGGCGAAGGCACAACGAGATCAGCAGAACTGGGTAGTTGAGCTATCCGCAATTGACTACTGCATATATATATATATACAGCATTGTATTTGGGATCTGGTTGTGAGTCAGAACATGAGGCGAGGAAAGACTCCTGGTTGGCCCATGGTAGTGGCCCAGACGAATCTTGTCATCTGAAACGATGATTGTCGGGTCATCCGAAGTGGAGGGTCATTGAAATGTCTTTAACCCATGAGACTGAGAACATTTCACCGTGAAACTGAGTAGACTCGTGTAGACTCACCCGAAACACACCCACTTGCCAGCTAGTGACTGACACGAGCTATGGAGATTCAGTCCACTGACAAACCACTGAACAACTGGTGCACTGAACCTGGTGAGCCCCAACAGCTTCACTCACTCCTGTCGGACCGTGCAAAGACCGAGCCTACCGAGTGGTGTGGAATGCTTCCAAACTTACACATGGCTCAAATGAGAAGGAGCTTCCGGCTTCCCGGGATGGCTTAGTTGGAAGCCGAGCAAAAGGTATCTACACGACCTTCCCACCACGCTGTCGACCGGATCTGGGAGGGGGGATGCTGCCGGTCCTGAACTCCTTGAAGACGAAGTATGCACGTCTCAAAGCCTCACGGCTTTGACGTACGAGTCGTCACGCGAGTCGTCGACTCGCCACGACGTCGATGTCTGCGTTTCGAGGTCTATCGAGTCGAACCGGTCCAGTTCAACTATCGATCTTTTGAACTGTGGAATGTATTGGCCACTGTTTACAGAATTTTACAGATTGTCAGCTGTATCTGCATTTTCCGGCTGTAGTCACATGTATTGATTGGCTGCATTGGAAAATCCCGGCTGTAGATCCGTTTGGAAGCGAAACACAGCGAGCACCGCGTCTGACGCGAAGACACACAGCTGAGGATGACCCCATGACCCTTCTGACGCATTAAACCCACAAGAGTTGCCTGTGCGTCAGCAGGCATTGGTCAGCAAGCTTGGACTTCAGGCTATAAGAGGTTCCTTTTTGCCTGACTCCACTTATGGGTTTGTTTCTTTGACCGACCATGGTGCAGAGATTGTAGATAATATGATCATCCTTTTTTTCATGTTCAGTACTGCCATCCTCCTGGAAACATGATGAGATTCCGAGAGAACCAGTTCACAGTTTAAGAACCACCCACTCCTAAAGAATGAGAAGAATGCCCGTGATCAAGCCCAAAGCTCCCAGTCATGTGCATTGGTTCACCGGCATCTGCAAAACTCATGCTGATGTCATGCTTCCTTCCCCGTTCCCTCCTACTATCTACAAAAAGTAGGATTTGGCAGAGCCATGCAGAGCCGGAAAGGCAGTTCTTCATCTGGAACGCCATCCGGCACTCGTATGTGTTTTATCTAACCTAACCCAAACACTCCACGTATGGAATATTTCCCGACATCAGCCTATATACCTTGACCCTTTTTTCAACCGCCCCAATCTAGATCAATATGTCAGGCCCATGATCTGTCTGCTCTTTCGGAGCGAGCGTCAGAGACCTCGGCGTCGGCATCCTCGGACCGCTGGTCCAGGTCGACCGCGACCGCGGCGGGCCTCTTGAACGTCCTCCATGGTGCGCAGACCGCTGATGGAGACCTCGACGGTGATCAACCGGACGAAGAACGAAGTCGTCCCGAGAGAATTTCATGGTGTTGTATCTTCCTTCAGGAAAATGTATGGCAATGTATGGATATGTATGGTAATTATGTTACTCTTCACATTATTCTGCTTATTGTTTGAGTTCACCAAAGCACAATTCGACACTCTTGGAAGCCCACCGTCTCTATACTCGCCATGTTTTCGGGTGTTCAATTGGTGCTGTTCTTTCTTCGACACCGCCGGGCTCCACCGCCGTCCTCTATTGGAGGGTGGGTCCCCAACCCGTTACCTCGTCACGAACTGTATCAATCGCCGGCTATGTGAACATTGGCGATGAAATTTTGAATGGGGATTTTTCACATGGACACACGACATCAAACCCGGGATGAGAGTCGTGTGTCAAACCATGTCAGACCGTCTTTTCGAAACATGTCAGACCCGAAACAATTCGGCGACTGAAACAGTTTGTGGGCCTGGACTTGTGTTCTCCGTCTTCTGCCCACAGAGTGACTGAAGTCTCGCTTTTTGTTGGGCCCTTAAACGAGCCGATGCACGAGCCGCTCCGACCGGCTCGACCGACAACGGTGGCCGTGTCGGCCCATCGGCCCACCTTGCCACCGGCTGTGACGAGATATGTACACTTGGGCCTCGAGAGCAGCGGAGAAAGAAGGTGGCCCAAACAAGGGAAGAACTTCACCTGGGTCTCACCACCTGGGGGCCTGTATGGGCCTGTGGATGCTGGGAGAAGCATCAAAACGCGGGCGGCTAGAATCTCAAGTTCTCAGAAGTTCTCCAGGTTTGCTATTTGTCCAAATGTCAACAACTCCCATTTCAATTGGAATCCATGTCTTTTCTGGATGCTCTTGGCTGTTGCTTCAAAGGACATTTCCGCTCTGGATGACATTCTTCAAGTCAAGGGAAATACCGCAACAAACAGTGCATGTTCCATTCGCTTTCTTCAATCGCTTGGAGTGTATACCAATCTTTCAGGCATCCGTGTTCATGGAAGATATCCTCTTACACTCACCACACAAATCATCCCGGTCTCAATGTGATCTCACTGGTTTCTTTACTGGTGGATTTAACCAGCAGCACTCGACTGCGAGGGTCGGGCTTCTTCGTGCGAAAGACCTGAGGTCAGGCCGCGTGGTCCTCCAGGTGTGGGGAGAGGTGTGGGGGCCATGACGAGGAAGCAAAGTTTGGTTGTTTGGAGGAACCTGGCAAGCATGCTGCGGCAGTGCAAGTCCTACAGGTGGAACCGAAACGTGTCAAATCTGATTTTCGACAGAGGAATCTCCTGGTTCACTGTCCAAGTTATTTGACATGTTCTTGTTTCAGAATGACCATGTCCCAAGGCCCCTTTGGCAAACAGGTGAATATACCATTCCAACTAAGGAACATAGCTCGGAGGGTCTTCACTGAAACTTAGCAAGGCTCTTGATTTCCAGAGTACTTACACGCGCCATTACATGACAAATATTTGAGTAATGTTGAATCCTCGGTGTTTATACTGAAACACAAGGCGACTCTGAACCTAATGTCTTGGTATGCCTTGGCCTTGGTCTGCTCATTTTAACACCTCGTTTCAGTTTCTAAATCCCTTTCAAGCAAAATGACTTGTTGAATCGCAATAGGCCAGTCCGAGATGTGCCTCATCTCGTAAGCATTTCTGCCACACATAGGATCAAATAGCATCAAAAAGGAACAATCGCCGATATACGAAGTGCTCTCACAACCCTGTCGATTTCTTTATGCGCGTTCAAGTACTTCAAGGGGGGGGCGTTCTCAACCCTCTATGGAATTATTACTAGTAGCAAGAAGCTACTACAGAAGGGGCTCCTGGCATGGCTACTAGGAGCGGACGCTACTAGGGGCAAGGACGCTACTGGTCAGGGGTGAAAACAAATCCGCTCCTCTTCGCTTCGACGTTTCCCGGTGCGCTGCTCGCGAGATGCGCTGCGCTGCTCCCGATGCGCCGGACGCAGCTGCAGAAGAACTCGGGCTCGTAGAGTGCGTTGCGCCGAAACCTTGGGCGTCGTGCGAAACTGCGGTGGGTGGAGCTTCACACAGCTGAACAAGTTGTGAGTCATGGGGATCCAGGTGCAGGTCGAAGATAAACACACCAAAATATGATATGTATAATGATATAAATTATGACATATCAACTTGAAACCACTATACCTAGAAGATCCTTTCGGCAGAAATTCTTGCCTTTTTCGGGAAGAGCGGCTCTCCCCGTCCTGGGGCGGAAACCAACTTTTTGCCGCGGAAATGTTTTTGTTGCCGCAAATTTTCCCTTTCAGGAATCTAGTGAGAGACTACATATATTCTATATAGAACAGTTGAATCTTTTTGGTGGTTTGCATGCATTGGGCATTTCTGCCTGGAATGGTCACCTCAATGATACAAAAAGATGGCGGCGCTTAAGTTTCCACCTCCACCTGCAAATCTGGCTACCATGTCTTTGTTTTTGAAGGTTTCTTGTGCGGAATGAGCACACGAGCAGTAAAATCAGTCCAAAGTTGAAAACACCTGGCGCGAAAATGCCCGGGAAAGAGGCGGAAATACCCGGGAAAGAGGCGGAAATACCCGGGAAAACGGCGGAAATTTCCTGGCAGAAGGCAGGATTCAAGAACAGTGCCCTTGAAGGGCTTGAACATATATCGCAGCCTCTTTGTGAATGTCATGAATTTAGAAGTAGGATGTCAGATCTTGAGATGTGAAACTATGGCCTTGCAGAACGATATGTGGTCTGCAATCATGGAAGAGACAACCTGGTCGGTGTTAGGCAGTGGTGATGGTTTTTGAATTGCTATGTCGGATTTTACTCGAGGCAGAAATTCCCGCTGGCCGCGGAAATTCCTACCTGGCGCGGATTTACCCTAAATCCGCGAATCCTCCCGGGCAAATCGGACTGAGGCAGAAATTTTTGCCCCAACTGCTTTTAGGTATAGCAGGAAACCAAAGTTCCATTGAAATTGAAACCAACAGAACCAGCATTTGAAATTGCAACATCGCAATTATGGTCACGCAGGTTTGAAGAACCGAATGAAGAAAACACCGAGGTTGATGGCTGGTCCACACTTCACCATACACAAACTGTTTGGGGCCTCTGGCTGGTTTTCTCTGCAGATTTTTGACTGACTGGTCACTTGGGGTTAGATCCCTCAAACAATGACACCAGGCAGTACTATAAACTGATTAAAACCGCGAGTTGTTTTCAGGCAAACCTAGTGGGACAACTACCTGAAATAGAGAACACATGGTCAATATGGGTCCCCTTTCCCAGGTGACGGATCTCTTCCCGTCTTCTTCCCGTCTGAACCGTCGGACGACGTCGAGGCACTTCGATGCCAGCTGGTCCAAGCGCACGGGAAAGCCCAAATCCGCCTGGTGCCGGTCGGTCGAACCGCGCCAAATCGCTTCGATGACGAAGAACGGTGACATCTGGTGGTGACATCTACCCATCCACTCAACCGGGCCGATCTTTTCGCCCGAAATTCCTTGGGGAGTTCGAAGGGTTCACCCACTCACTGGGCTTCGTTTTCAGCGAGGCTTCGCCCCTTTGGCTTCGCCCCAGTCGTGGGAGTCTCGCTTCGCCTTGCACAGGATGCTGGAGATGCCATAATCGGCGAACCTGGCCACGTTCAAAAGAGACAAAAACGAACATCGGTGGACAAACATTCAGAAAAAACCTTGGTTTTGGAGAACCAACCACCCAAGACTGCCCTTGCTGTTAATGATTGTTTGCGAGATGACCATAGCAATGGGTACGTGACAGTTATGGTACATTGCTTCTCCAGTCTTCAATACCAGAAGTGCTCCTTGAAGTGAACGGACGGGTCAACTGAGCCCTCAACTGAGCCTTGCGACTTGCCAGCCACCCTTGTTGCAAGCCGAGCGAGTCACCGACGCTTGTGGTCGGGGAGGAACCGGTGGTGTCCTCTTCGAAAAAGAATTAGGGACTCAGTCACGACTGGAGCCGATGAAACAGGTGAAGTGCCCCTTGGGTTGAGTGAGATTTCACAACTGTTTTAAAGGTCAATGTAGGTAAAATATTCCGTACATGGATGGCCTGGGACTGTTTCAAAGGCTCTCTCAAAACACAAGAGGACAGCGGATTCGTTCCTCCCAGGATTTCCAAGACCCAAATCCACCAGCTTGCAGCTTGTTGAATCAGTGTTCCTCACCACTTCCTCCCTCAAATCAAGTATATATATCGCTTCCATATCATGTACCTCCCAACAAAAGGAATGGTCCGTCGCTACAGGCCAAGGATCTCATTTTACTGGACCTGGTCAAACAAAAACATTGTTCACTAAAGGAAAGGATCGTGTTTTGCAGGGTCTTTGGACTTGTAGGGTACGGTATCGGTGTATCGTGTTTACCATATGAAGACCACAAATCCGACAGTTCTTGGGTATCCAACAGATTACCTCTCACGGCCTCTCAAAATGACCCACCAGAAAGACTCAAAACCACAAACAAAACCGGTTTTCAAATACATGTTTTCATCTACCAACTGTTCAGGGTAAACTGGAGACCGCGCCAATCTCCAACTCGGGGCCATGTGGCTGTTCTCCCGACACCGCCAAAAGGAAGCGTGGCGGGTGTGGCTTGGCTTGAGGATGACCCGCCCTGGCACGGTCTTTGAACATCCGCCCCCTCCCGAAATTGGTTCAGTGGATGCCACGGAGGTCGAAAAGCCATCGAACCTGAGGATCTGGGGGCCGTTCGGAGCGCTAGGTATCATCCGGTGGGATGTGCATGGGTGGATCAAGACGACCGCCATGGATGATCTCGCCCAGTCGTGTATGTGAAACGCTGGGGAGGCGTTTCAGCAGGAGAAAGCAACAAAGGGTGGGCATTCCTGGACCCAGGATGGAGAACAAACAAAACACCTGGTATTATGATGGAAAACCCTGGGAGAACAACGTGTATATCGAATGTTGGAGTGATAACAAACATGTAACTATACAGCAATGAACACGTTAAAACACCAATTAATTCGTGTGTGCTCTGTTTGCTTCTTCATGTCAAAGACATGAGCGTCTGCCAAAACGTTCTGTTGGATACAGGACATGATGCAGCAAGGTTATTGCTCTTGAGGGGGGCCTGTCGCTTTCGCAGGTTTTAGCCCAATTCCTGAAATTCACGACCACCCTCTAATTAATCGTATTAATACCATCCGCCTTCGGTCGAGAAAGAGGCTAGCCTACCCACTACTCTTACAGGGTCTAAAATCCACCGTAAGATTTGCTTGGAGGGTAGCACTGCTCCATGAATTCCAAGGAGACTGCCGAGACTACCCCTCCAAAGCTCAGAAAGAACAACTAGACTGGGGGGAGTCCTGCGGATTCAGTCCATTTCTTCCACTTCAGCAATTCCCTTCTGCCTCTGCACCAGCCGTGCCACTTTCTTGGCGGACCTGCTGAGCTCGGCTCGATGACCTCGTCACCTCGTCACCTCGTCACTCGGATGGCGATGCTCGATGGCTCAACCGAGGTTTTGATCTCAACATTCCACATGGACATCTGAGCATGTCTGAGCAGCAGAATGTCTGATCATCGCTCTGAGCATCGCTCATGTCAAGCTGCCCTTCACGGAGCTGACGAACAAGTTATGCAGAACACATTGCACGTATGTGCACATGCTCAGTTCAATAGCCGAAGAAGGAGTGACACTAGGAATGGATAGGACCTGGAGCTTACAGGTACGGCAGCTGGAGTCAAACACTGCCAGGAAATGTGATAGGAAACCAAACATCATCCACATCATTCAACATCCATGTTCTTGACCTGTCGACATGAGGTAGGGACCCGAAAATAGCTTCTTTTGGATCGACATCCAAACTCAAACCCGAAGACGGGACCCATCGAACAACACCGGACATCATCCCCATTGGCCTCTTGAGCCCGTCTTCCGACACTTTGGCATTCGAAGACCTCAGGTAGATCGAAGGGCTAAAGCGGCAAAAGGAACGAGAGGAGGGAGAGGACATACATGGTGTTTTGAAGACCGCCATTTTGGGGGTTCAGGTAACCAAACCCCCCAAAAAAGAACAGGCGCAGGCGCAGGTCAGCCTTCGAATGCCAACACACATCGCCTCTTGAGGCCCTCCAGGGGAAGATGACGGTGCTACAAAGGGGCTCTAACCCTGCAAGAAACCCGGTGGTGATAGCGTTGAAAATGCTGGTGATTACTGTACAAAGAAGAGTCACGCAAAATGCCACCCTCAGAGAGTCACAAAACAACTCAACCTTCTGTATGATCTTCAAGTAACGCTGAGAGACCCCGAACCAGAACTGAGGCCTCCGAACGTGCCCCCTCTGCCAGAAACGTACCAAGCATCCTGGAACCTGCCCACACCCCCCAGAATACAAGTTGAACCACAGGTATATCACATCATCTCACATCATCACACGGTCATCCACACCCCGCACCACCCGATCCATCTGCACCCGATCCGCACCCAGTCTGCACGGAACACGCACACACCCGACCGCTGCGGTGCCCGGGCAACATCACCTGACCGCTGCGGCGCACCAGCGCAGTGACGCGAGGGTTGAAGAGTCGTACCTGGCACGAAGACGCCACGGCCGCGCCGAAGCGGCGGCGCCGGGTAAGACGAGAAGGTCAAGGCGTTGCTGCATGCATCCATAGTCTTTCAAGGCAGCATGTTTCTTCTCTGAATCATGGATGCTGCACATAAATGCACGACATATTATAGTCATGGGCTTGACCATCTTCATCCACCAACCGGAGGTGGCATGGGCTTGCCATGCTCGTCGATTCTGGAATCCTTTTTTGGGGGTCTCCTAGAAGGGTTCTTCCGTGATCTTCTATCACAGGAAAAGATCCACATCCGAGATCCTAACAAAACAACTAACATTAAACAAACCATATATCATAGTTCTGTTAAGTTATAGTTAGTTATATATACCAAACATAAACCAAATTATCCGAAAACATACCCCTAAAATCCCCTAAACCAAGGATCTCATAGGATCTCATTGCCAGATTCCCCGGCGATCTCCGGAACTGTTCTCCACCCTTCACCGAGGAGTCCGGCGGTGCTCGCGGCGCACGGTGATGCTCGTGTGCTTCCGGGGGTTGTACTCCGCGTGGCGAATGGAGAAGGCCACCTCGGCGCTCTGCGAGAAGCGCGGTCCAGGCGCTCCGGCACACCGATCGGTGAGGTTAGCCATGGGTGCAAATCACCTGAAAATACAGTCACCTTGGCCAGGTGCCATGAATATAGAAGGATGTTGAAGGATCTTGTTCACATCTTCTTCGTCTCAAGTCTCCTCACTCCAGCTTCGAAGCTGCCGGCATCCCACTCAAACCGAAACCGTTCACCCAAACCGTTCGACACACATATAATATACCAAATTCACCTCCTGACCGCACAGAACCCCTCCTCTGTCTCGACCGATCATCAGTATGTCTCGACCGATAATCAGCCATGTGTCATCTCGGGATGGAGGAGATCAGCATGTCTCAGTCATGAATCAAGCAAAGCTGCTTTGTGCCAGCCGTTGCCAGCGCCTTTCCTTCCAAATTCATCTAGTCCCCCAGTCCGTCCCCTTAGGCCCTTCCCCCCAGCCCCATTCTGAGCTTCCCATCCTCTTTCAGATCTAACTCACAACGGAGATGAAACCTCGAAGGGGCGCCGTCCGACCACGAAGGGGGCGCCGTGAAAACACCCGGAGGGAGTCTCTTTCCGAACCAAACACATCAGGAGTGCGGTGCAGTAGAGGGGGAAAAGACGAAGACGCACAACCCTGTAACTGCACCGAAGAAAGTCTCAAAAAGCACTAAAGAAACTACAAAAACAGATCCACCAAAGACACTTGGCCTCCAAGTCGAATGAAGCTAGCCTTGGAAGACATTGGACGACCGACCTTTCGCAACCATCGCCCCCAAAGTCCACCCGGATCGTGCGGATCGCACAGCAGTTGCCCCGCACGGAGGACCCAGATGGGTCTCCCCCACTTGGCCACCATAATGAAGGGCACCGGGACCACCTCTGCCCTCAGAGCGCGAGCTCGCGCGAGCTCGGCTCGTGCGCGGATGGATGGAGAATCCTTTCGGTGGACTCACAGTCCGATGGGTTTGGTCCAAAGGGTTAGTCTGTTGAGCTGCGGGGCAAAACATAGGCAGCGTGGTACCGGCAATGGAAGAACGTGTGAAGCGAATTCCAAACAGTCCCTGGGTCGTCGTTGGGTCGCCACATCCAATTCATGCGCCCCGGCAGTACGTTCGAAGGCGAACACGGCAGCTCGCTGGGCCGAGCCGACGGCAGTTGATGCTGCGGGTCGGGCAAGTCGGGCCTTGGGCTGCGTCGGGCGAGACGTTGCGTGGTGCCACCGACCACTACCTGGTGTAGACTGAGAGGTGACTGGGCAAGTGATCATTCCAAGCATTGATGAACAAAAGGCTGTGAATCCATGTGAATCCCAAAAGACACAGACTGCGTATAAGGTTCAACCCATGGAAACAAACAGTAAACTAACTCAACCTTTCTTCAATTGATGTTAAACAACATGATTTCAAACAAAGACGTTAAACGAACTCTGCCTTTCTTTCAGCGCAAGGCGGGGCTGTGACACTCAGACACGAGTCCGGAGTCTCTTCTCGGACGAACGGAGAAAGCACAAAGAGTCTACAGGTGGTTTATACCAATGGTATAGGAGAAAGCACATGGTTACCATGTTATACCCATGACTGGGAGAACATCCGTTGGTTTAGGTCTTTCAGGTTGACTCACAACCACCGAATGAACATATCAGGAAACCTGGTGGGCCAAGTGATTGGAAGGGTACAAAAAGGCCCATGAACATCCATGAGTCTCTGACAAGAAAAGGCACAACAGCAAAGTTGAAGAGACACATGTCTGAGAGACCTGAATCCATAGCCGTTTGTGACACATTCTTGCGCAATCATTGCAGTCATGCGATCAAGCATGGAAGGTCTACATCTCCGCTGCTGGGAAAAGTGATCTTACGAACCATTCCAGTTCAAAGCACCAGAATGCTTTGGGAACACATGGGAACACCCATCAAATATAATACAATGCAGTACCAGCACCTTGAAAGTTTGAGCGGGAGTTCTACTTTTGCTCCTATACCATGCTTTGCCCCACAAACAACTCCTCCTCACTGCTGGGCTGCCCCCGCGGAATGTCCAACTCCTGTGGAGCTTCCTGCACTGCCGGCAGTACAATAACGCAAAGGTTCCAAGATTGGACTTTGCGGCTTTGCTGAAACAGGGATGATGGCTGCAACATAGTAGCCACTTTATCAAAACCCTGGGTAGTAGCAACTCCATCAAAACTCTGGCTACTAGAATACATGTCTGTATAATCATATATATATATATATGTCTCAATATCTAGATTGCAACACCCGACAGGTAGGTTTAGAGAATGATCACAACTTCTATGAAATGAGCTTGACATACGCTCGCTGGAGGGAAGGCAGCAGGCATATGTTGCATGAAACCATACTAGGGGAACTTTGCCCTCATTGATTGTCCTCATTGACTAGGACTGACTGTTCTTCCTGTGGCAGTTCAGTTGAAAAGACACACACACACACATCGCTGTAAAAAACACCAAGTCAAGGACACCTAACACTTGCTGGTCGCTTTTCTCCCCAAGCCTTTTGAGAAGGCTGGAGCGTCACTTGCTGATCGCCCCACCGCCGCAGTGCTTTTTGCGCTCAAGCCGTCTGGATTCTCAGCTCCTTTCGCAGGGCCTGCTTCGACCGAAGTCCAACGGTCTCGCGAAGGAGCCGGGGAACTTTCAACGGGGTGCTGTTGGGAATCTGTTCTCGGGATGCTGTTTTTTACTGTGTTGCTGGTGCTCTTCTTTCTATTTTTCTCTTCACCGTATTTCTTCTTGTGCTACTTGTAAGTCAATGAATACTTGTAAGAATGTTGAGGTTGTATCAAGTAGATTCAACGAGCATCCAAAAGGGATTATTGTACTCTCACAGTGCCTCTTTCACCTGCCAAAGGACACACTTCCACGAACTCTTTTGAAAGTTGAACATGCCCAGGAACACCTATTCAAGATATACAACAGCCATTGATGCAAAACAACGGATGGAAAAAAGAACCAATCCAGCAACACTTCGCCAGTGGGATTTCTCCAAAACTCCAAGCAACCTCGTCCCATCCCAACTGCGAACACAAAGCCCGAACACGCCCTGCGACCCGTCGACGTGAACTCGTTCGCTGCCTTGGGAAAGCGGCGTTTCTGCGCACGGGACAAGTACCTGCAAACAGGTTTTAAGAGTTCTGCGCGCTTTTTTGGATGGTTTTTGAAGGCCTTTGATGTTTTATCGCACCAGGGAAAGGCCACAATTATTGGCAAGACCAGATTATGGCTGACTGAAGCCTTACAAAGGTGAAGTGTCAAAAAGAACAAGCAACAGATTCATTGGACCAACCTATAGTAGCGATGGCCTCCAACCTACTAGCGATCCACTAGCGGCCTCCAACCTAGCGACAAGCCATACCTAAGCCTGGCTGTGGTTCATCTGCGCACGGGTCCTCTGCACCGCAGCTCTCACAGGCTGCATTGAGCCTGGCGTTGTCTGGAGAAGGCCTGTTGTCTCACCAGGTTGAACTCGACAGGTTCTCCCAAAAACACGAAAGGCAAAAAAAAGGACAACACAAGCAACTCGATGGACAAACAACAGAGGTTTTGGCGAAAACTCGATCCAAATCGAAAGGTCTGGGCTCCGTCTCCTGTCATTCCAAACGGCCCCAAACGGCCCACAACACATCAGTCGCCAGCGAGTCGTCCAAGCCAGTCGTCCAACTCTTCAAAGACAATTAAAAAAACATGGTGGACATGAATTTGTCGTGTAACATGATGTACAATTCACATATCTTCTGGAAAGAAAAGGCTCTTCAACTCATTCTAGCCTTTAGAGTCCGTACCTTGAGCATCTTGAGCTCGCTCCTTTGGACCCCCTCGGTCGTCGCTTGTCGTCGGTCGTCGGTCACCTGCGGATCTCGTCCAGCGAGAAGTTGGACATCCTCCGGAGGGATTCACGAAGGATCGCCTTCACCTGGGCTCCGCGAACGGTGCGAGCGTCGTGCGAAGGGTGTCCTTGTTTTTGCAGGGGGAGGCTATCCTTTTTTAGGAGGGGGAGGAGTTAGGTGAGGATTCTTTTTGGTGGCGCAATGTGGGCGTAATTACAAGCTATACTATACCCTGTATATCTAGTATATATTGACGTGTAATTGGACATAACATAATCACTTGTCTATTGGCCTGAATAGCAGAGTGCTTAGTAGAGATAACCCTGAAAGCATTCATCGAACAGGAACAATCGGACAGGAGGGGTGCAGGAGGGAGCAACTCCCACCCCACCTACATCTCTTGGGTACAGGCATCACAACCATAATATCTCTGTACAGCAGGTTAATGTTGAGGAGCGAGGAGCGTCAAGTGGCACCGGCAGCAATGGTGGCTCATGGTGGCTCTCCAACATCTTCTTGGAGATTCACAAGCTCCACAGATATGTGAAACACAAAAGTATTCGACTTTGTCTGCGAAGTACTCGACATCTCCCATGTGGTGCACAAATGGCTCATGAATGGCACTATTCTTTAAATAAATGTCCTATACTGCACCTGGCAAAGAAAACCAGGTTCTGGAGCACCCGCATCATCTCGATCACGGATGTTTCTAATCTTCTGGTCAAGGGCTTTCGACATCATCCGGGAAGTCCCCAATAATAATGGGCGCTGCACCAGAGTGGCGTTGAACTGCAGGGTAGAAAACTACAACCAGGTGGCCGTGGGGGGTGGGGGTTGTCGCATGCTGGGGCAGCGTGTCTTTAGCGACAAAGGACAGCGTGCATTTGCTGGTTTGAATGGCCACAAAAGCCGAATTCTTCATGAGCCACTTTTTCTACCCAAACTTTTGCCCGGGAGAGTTGTGTTTGCATGTGAGTTCATCAATGTGTGTCAACAGTGGGATCCCTTGTAAGCCCTTCCCCGAAACAGATTTTCGCACCCAAAATTGACTGGTTAAGTGAAGAACCTCTGAGAATCTCTTTCTCGTAGAAGAATGCGGAGCACTCAGAGTGACAACTAGGGCACGGGCCGTTGCGAGATCAGTATTTGAAGGGACCTCGCTGCCTGAAAGGAACAACATTCGCTTCTCAGCTGAGTGCAGTACGCGCAACATGTGCCTTTAGCAGCTGAAATGTAAGAGGAACTTCAAGCAAAAGAACTCGTTGATGATGCAAACGACTGGTTGAACTGCATTTGCGATAAAGGGTCTTGGGATGGTTTCCCAGGGGGAGAATACGCTTGGTAAGACGAAGTGTGCGCTGACATTTGCGGCCGCAGATTGGATCCTGAAAAGAAAAATGGGTTAACTTCCGGTTGCTCGCCGCCTGCGTAGAGCTCTGCGGCCACGGTGAGCTGCGCGGGTGTCAAACCCTGCAGTGCCGAGGCCACCAGTGGCTGAGCCTGTGGGTGGAAGGAGCGAAGAGTGAGGTCTGGACATGGACCATCACAAGACATGGATTTCTATATTAAGAAGCGAACGTAGAAACAAGTGCCACGCTACGAACGGAACAAGTGCCTTACTAGTAGTAACAAGAAGCTATATGGGTGTGGCCAGAAACCCTGGTATGGATCGTTCCGCGCTGCAGCGAGAGTGATCCAAACCCTATGGATCAGAGCGCTGATCCAAGCCCTATGGATCAAACCGACAAGTCACTTGATCCAAGCCCCCGACATGAACACATCTGCATGGTTGCACTTCACCCCACCACTTTCTCACCAACTCACTGTGAAGGTGGCCCAGATCAAAGCCATCCTGTTTGTGGCAAGCCTGTTTTGAAGTTCTGGCCGCTGTGAATTTGGGCTCCACTGTCCACATATTGGGCATGGTTGGGTATAGAGTGGTGGCAATGAGTGTTGGGGCTCATTCTTTCTCCAACTTAAGCAGACGACGCAAGAAGCCCAAAAAGGCCATCAGCTGGCCACGCATATTGGTGACTCAGTGGGCTCTCAAGACATTTAAAAGGTGGTGGCTTCAGCTCTAGATTGGAGGCTCACCCCGAACACTGGTTAGTGGCTGCCGCTAATTCTGTTTGGCCTTAATATTGTGTTCTAGCGCCTTCTTTATGGGTTCGTTGGGTTGGCTCCTCCACTCAAAGGGTTGCATAGCCTAATGATAAAAGTTTCAATTTCCAATTCTTCACTTGCGCAGCGTGAGGGTTCGAGTCCCAGCTGGGAGTGCACTTAGTGGCTTCCGCTAATTAATTTTTGGCTGGAATGGGAAGTCAATTTGAAGTTGAGTCTAGTGGCTTCCGCTAAATCTGTGGTGGTGGTAACACTGGTGATAGTAGTGAGTAGCAGTGGCAGCAGCAGTAAAGCTGTTGCAGTAGTAGCAGCAGGTGGCAAGTGCAGTGGCAGTAGCAGAAGGAGTGGTGGCAGCAGAGGTGGTTGTAGTAGTGGTGGTGGTGGTGGTGGTGTGATCCAAGGGCTTGGATCACACACCCACCTTTTGATCCATACCCTATGGATCGAGGTATGGATCGTGTGTGGGTTTGGGTGTGTGATCCAAGCCTTATGTTTCTGGCCGTAGCCATATTATGATGTGTGTTTTCTTGAATTGTAACTCTCTTTCAGGGTGTGCAGGCCGGGTCTCGCTGGGGCTCCCCCATATCCTCAGGTTCAGTGGTGGTCTTCGACCCTTCTGGCACCCACCCCAGTCCCCCTACCGAAACGGAGGGGGCGGCCAGGAGCCCAAACGGGAAGCTCAACGCCGGGAGTTGTCGGGCACTTGAAGGCACGAAGAAGGCACGAAGTGGTGTGCCCTGGAAGGTTGGAAAAATAGACCAGTCTACCCAGCCAGGGCGGGTGGTTGAATCAAAAGAACTGGTTGTCTCCACTTTGCAAAGTTCTCAACGTCTAAAACCTGGTTGCTTTGCAACCGTTTCGGCATCCAGGCATGTTTTGCATGGGGGTGCTTGTCTGTGAAGCTTTGCGTTCAGGTACGGCTTTCTGAGACACCGAAAACGGCCGCTTTCTCAGGCTCTTGCCGCATCTAACAGGCGGAGGTCCAAGGGCCTTGAATACGGCGGAGCGGAGCGTTGAACGACCAAGCGGAGCGGACCAAACGCACCGCTCCAAGGACCTGCAAACGCGCCCCATGACCTTGCGCATCCGTGCAAGGTGGTTGTAGGTCGGCGCCATGATTGGAGCGTTTGGGGCAGAAAACGCTGTTGGGTAGAGAATGGATCCAGGTTCCGTGGTGATGCCTGTGGGGTCTGGTAGTAGATGATGGTTCAACTCTTTCAGAAGCAAACCCACTGGATTGTCCAATTGAGGCTGAGAAACGCAGTAACTACAGTAGGACTTGCCTAGCACGCACGCCAGTCCTGTGGACTAGTCACCACTAGTCACTGGTCCCGCTATCTGACTCGACCCTCTTCAGCCCAGTTCAAGTGACTCAACCCTCTTCTGCCTGCTGTTTGCAGGAGATCTCAGTCTCAGTGGTGGACTTTTCTGGACCCACTCCATGTCGTTGCTGCTCCAAGTGCCACTGCTCGTGTAACGAATGGGCCCCAGGGCCCTCCCGCTTCGAAAAAGCAACAGATTCTTCAATGGAGTGGGTTGCCTGGTCACCTCATTAGGCAACCCACTCCCTCCGATTTCCAGGCGACCTGTCAACGCCAGCACTTTTTTTCAGGGTATCATTTGTAGACTTTTGCTTCATAAGCCCTCCCAATTGGAGTGAAGAGCCTCTTCATATGGGAGGGTTATCAAGAGTCTACATTGAACCCCCAAACCGAAAACTGGTTTTCGTACCCCTCTGATGGATAACGGCACGGCGGCGGACTCCGTCTCTGGGCTTTCCATGCTGCGGTGAATCGGAGGACTCACCGCCTGCAGAGGTTTTGCGCCAGTTGCAAAGAGAGGGGAGACCCAACTCCTCCGAGGTGTTGGTAGTTAGTATGTTTAGGTGGTATTATATAGTTATATAATAGATACACTAATTAAATCTAATAACTACATATGGTGCAGTTAGGAGGCAGTGGAAGACAGGTGTGAAGGTTTATTTTCAAGGGGCGCTCTTTCCATCTAAGAACATGGAATCTATTGACATTGAAATAGGGGAAGGTGAGATGTGCAGTCACCAGGGTGCCAAGAAACCCTGGCTAGACCAATTTGATCCTAATTTGCTCCCCATAGTGCAAGATATAGGTCCATGAAACATCACCCTCCATAGCACTCTGTGATTTCTTGGACACTTCAAACCAACACATCCCATCAGTTGGGTCCCGGTCCCCACCTCCAGATGTAGCTTGGCCGCTGGCAGCTGAGACTGGCAAGGGAAGCACGGGGGTGGCGTCAGTCTTACAGACCTTGAGTGGATCGTGAGTGACAGCAGAAACAGAATTACGGTATCACTTCTGAAAAATAGGGAGGAACAAACTTGGTGACAGGGTTGCAAGTTCTGCGCTGTTTCTGTTTTGGAGTCTTTCAATCAGCACTGGCGATATGACATCCACCAAGTCATGTGTTTTTTTTGTTTCAGATCATCACTGTCATTGGGCACTGAAAGGCAGCATGGAGACTACCTACATTCGGCATCTATGCTTATACTACGTGAAGAATGTTGTTCTCTAAAATCAAGAGATCTTCCACTTCCATGTTTGTTCAATGGAGGCTAGTCCTTCATCTCCGCCGTACGCCACACAGCACACCGCGCACCGCGCATGTGCGCCTGCACGCAACGCCTCCAAACCCTCCAGGGCCTCAGGTGTCTGGAGCGGATCAATGATTCCGTTCGCGCCAGGAGTCCTGTGAGTTGAGGAACCTGATGGAACTATAGCCACTTTGGGTCGAAAAAAAAATACCTGGTCAAAAAACATCTTAGGATATCTTAGGTATTTCTTTTCACGCCCCCGTGGTCTTCGCTGTCATTTCCATGATGCAGCCACGCCTGTGCCACCCGGAAGCCGCGCAAGTTCCGCCGGTAGGCGTCGTCCGCATTGAAGGGAGCCTCGCAACGGTGGACAAAGGTACACCACCGGAGGACCACAGCGGTGGTCAGGTTGCTTTCCGATTTTGGGTGCACATGAGGCTTGACATGAATTCAGAGCAGGGGATTGCAGGGGTGTATTTGTCATATTGTTTCAGTCCTGATCGCTGATAAAGATCCCGTGAGTTGATGTAGAAGTTGTTGGAATATCCTAAAGAAGAACTCCTGCAAAAGGGGAGCTCTGGTTTGCTATAGGTCTTATAGTGTCAGGCGAGAGGGCGGCATGGAAGCTAGTGGAGCAGCTTGACACCTAGCTTGAAGTTTTGCTACTGCTATGTGGATCGAACAAAAAGCACCGTCTTCCAAGACATGTTGAACATACTTCACATGTATATCTGCTGCAATCTATGGATCACAAAACTCTTTGTTGGATCACTGTATGAGTATTTATTTAGTCGTGGAGCAGCAGGCCAGCCACAGAAATAGGCGCCTCCACAAACACCATACAACGACCACCCACAATCAGCTCCTTTGGGTGCCCGAAAGGAACATCCAGGATCTCACACTCTCTGACTGACTTGTCAGAAGCAGCCATCAAACAAAGAAGGTTACGATAAAACAATATACAGTATATACAAGCTAACCTCCACCTTGGTTACTAAAATCTGTGTTTCGCCAATACAGAGAGTACATTACTGCCTCAAACCAGAAACCAACCTTTTGGGTCTTACCATGTCTTACCAGTAACAGTGGATGATGATGGATAGGTTGCAGGCCTTGTTTACAGGTCTTGCTACAGAACGGACAAACCGGTGGGGCCCAATCTTCAACAACTTCTCAGTACCTCAGCACTTCACCTGAGCCCTGTGAAGCCAAGGCGCGTAGAATGGGACCTGCAGTGAGAGGATCGGACCCATGAAACTTGGTCGAGTTGGTTTTCATTGTAACACTCTGATTCCTCACATCACATGTGCACCACGTGGATACGTGGATGGCATGGCACGGAGTTCGGAAGACCATGAAGCATCATCCGGTCTTACCAAACAGGTGGTTTTCACTCACTCACTCCCTCCACGTTTCACTCCATGTGTTCGGTGTTCGGAGCGTGCACGCTCGAAGGGCAACCCCTCACGGTCTCAAGGAGTTGTGTACCTCCCAAGTGTACCTCGCCAGACCGAGCCTCCGGTTGGCCGTAGCAGTAGCAGTAGCGGTTGATTGATGTTAATTCATGCAAAAAGAGTCGTTAGTAGCAGTAGGTAGCAGCAGTAGAAATAGCAGCAGCAGGCAATGAATAGGATCTGCAGAATGAATCTGGTCAGGTGAACAGCATCCACAGCATCCAGTCTAGGGATGCTAAATGATGCTAAACTATATATATATATAATTTATATAATCCATTTCTAGCTGCCGGGCGTGTATATAAACCTGATTTCGTCGCATCCAATCCAACAATGTAGCTACACATCTGTGCCAAAAAACAGTGACACCTATGTGTAAGTGACGAAACCTAATGTTCATCGACTCCTCCGTAGAGCTGGTCTTCCTTTCCCCATGTCATGTTGCTTTCCATGTGCGTTCAGGCTGTAAATACAGATGCTCCATGTATGCCATATATGCCTACATTGACCCCTCAAACCACCCAATGTAGGCATATATGGCATACATGGAGTGTCTGGGGACTATATAACTTCATGGCTGAGTAGTCTACGGAGTGGCTCTTTTTCCCGAGAGCGTCTGAGCGAAGGGTGCTTCAAAAGGAGGTGTAAATAGATCTACTTCAAACCTGACATCTTCTCACATCTCACATCTTCCCACATCTTCTCACATCTGACATCTTCTCACATCT